CAGCTCACCCAGAGCTATTGTTAGCCTCTGCTTCTCCACAACAGGTCCACTGCTGATCCCTTTCAAGCCCGAAGACCCTTGCTGTGTTGGGTTCCACACTCAGTGTAGGAAGCTGTTTTCAGACTCGAGGTTGCTGGTATTAGCCAGGATGCTCAGTAACTGTCGAGAACTTCGGTGCAGGCCGAGTATATATCTGATCAGCCAAGTGACGGCTGACTTGAGGAGGCTCAGTTGGGTGCTCAGCACTGACTTACTCACTAGAGTTGGCTGAATCGTGCTTACTTACAGGGGTAGACACTAATATTGGCACGAGTGTTTTTTATGTCTTTTCGTCTGAAACTGATCCATACGTGATTTGAGCAGTGAAAATACCTGACCAAGAATCGCTGAAGTATTCTCTAAGGGTTGAAGTCCACTGGGTAAGTGGTCTTTTGAAAGCTTTGAGGTCTGGGCAGAAAGTTAGAATACTATGCTTTCAAGAGGAATCTCTCTTTCGAGCGTTACTCCGGTTTGCCCGACAGTCCCTGGTTACATGTCTTCCCATCTTTCTTACTCCGTTGGTACTTTCCAATAAAGCCCCTCTCCTTACACCTCCGATCAAGAATAGTCCACAGACCGTCAGTTTGCTCAAGTGAGCATCGCGCGATCACCCCCGTTCGGGTGCAACACTGGGTGTTATCGAGATCTGTCTCATGTCACCTGTGACGAGAGTGGCGTCATTAGAGGCTGTTGCTATTCTAAATACGTTGTAAAGTCCCGTCGGGGACAATTTTCGCTCGCGTGTAATCCATGATTTTTTACTGTTGATTTTACCCTCATGCGATGCGAGGTGTTAGCGGCTACAACGGTTAACTCTAGTCAGAGTAATGCAAAGGAAGACACTCGTGGTGCACAACATCAAACCTTTGCAGACTCCATTCTCTTAAGGGCAGTGCAAAAGAAAAGAGGGGATATGCGCACACCTCTCACACAGGGTTCAAAGCACGTACGGCTTGCCTTTGTAGCCTAACACGGATCACGGCCAGGAAAGACTTTTGTTTCTAATCTTTACGACAATATAGAGTTTAGGGAGACCCGCCTTTTCTGAATCAGTTTTCACTGGCTAGGGGCACCCTCGAGGCGACCACGTAAGTGTCGCATGTACCACACCGTTAACTGCTTACCCCAGCTCTTTGTACTACATTGCCCGAGGTTCGCTCTGCTTAATTGGTGCACTGTGGACTGTCAATGGGAAACCCTGTTTAACAATAACCAGTGTCGTAGACGGCACGCCTGTGTGTTAGCGTGAGTCTCAAGGCAAACAAGATCCCACACACACGGGGGGGTGAATGGTGCTCCTAGGCCCTTCTCACTGAAAAGGCAAAATCATTGAGCAATTAATAGCAGATTAGCGACATGTTGTGGAAACCCTTTTGTTACCCAGCGCAAACTCTATTAGTCTCCATCGATTATGTGTTTTGCAAGTAGATACGCCACCTTCCTTAGAACACGTTGGGTTTTACCCATCAGACCACTTCTTACATCACACCTCTACCGAACAGGTCAGGACACCCTCTCGTCTTTGGTTGACCCTGCCTTCTTAACATCCACTTCTTAACCAGCCAGTTAGGATTCCATCGACAAGCACAGATAACTCAGTAATAGCACGCGAGTTCACCAACTCGCGTGAATAGAGCCCTTTTCCCCTGTCATTCCTTAGCAAGCACTCTTTTGCAAGAGGGGTATATTCCCAATAATTATAGTTATCAAGAGTTCATCAGGCGTTGGGGGAGAAGCTTAAAGAAAAGGGGATGAGCAAGGCTAGAGAGAAGACAAATGCTCTTATCTGATTTTATTTCAAAGCATGTCTCGACATATGTCCACTTCTCCACCAACCTTCATCCACACTCCTACTTTAACCTCCACCCCGAACACATCAAGAGAGAACTGGAGCATAGAGAGTAGGCTGTAGCAAGGATCACAATTGGGCTCTCAATCACTTGCTCATAGTGACTTATCATAAACGTGGTCTCAGGCCTAGCCCCAAAAGGTCTTAGGAATCAGCAAGAATGATTGGGGGTGGCAACTAAACAACGAACAAGTGTCACTTGGCTGCAGTACTTAACGACTTTCTCTCCTCCCAAGACTCAGGATGTGCCCTCTTATTCTTCACCGAGGGCTCAACTTATCCCCATCACCACAAGATTAGAACGGACATTAATCTTGAAAAGAAAAAAAAGAAAAAGAAAAACCATTGAGCCAAAATGAGGATATCATTAGGGACCAGTTTACCCTTCCCCTTGCGCAGACCTGTGAAAGTATAACACGCGTCCTACTTTAGCCTCAATCGCTCAATGATTACCGACTCCAAGTACATACTTGTTCCCCGTTTATGCCCCCAGTACCCGTGAGTTCGGCAAAAGATCCAACTCTCAAGCAACACTTTCGATGACTGACAAGTGCACGGCCACGAGGCAGCTAGCATCAACTGTGACCTCATGCACAGGCCTCTCACGTTGACTCAGAGGAGTGCAAAAGTAGGACAATTGATTGTCGTTATACATGGCCTCTCGGCGCAATTCTCAAGTGAGTCATATACCCAATGCCATAGCGCCTCGCTTATGCTCCGATCAGCAAGTCCATTCCTCCTTCCTTGTGCTAGCCTTCAAGTTCGCCTCGCGCTCGCTCCCGCGAGCGATCACGCACCCCTCTCGCTCTCTCGAGGACAGTCAAGCGACGCTCTGATGCCCCACAAGCCGTGCTTGCTGCGGACAGACGCAAACTTTCGTAATTCATGCGCGAGGGTTGATGAGGTCTTCATCGATGCCTCATACTAAACGTTGTCGAGTCCCTTCCTCGCCAAGATTGGGGTGAAGACCACCATAATAGCGGGGCATATCGAGCGAAGAAGCAGTCGACGTCAACCAAGTCGACCAGCCGTATGAGCACGCAAGGGACACAGATTGAGACCTCGACCACAAAATGACGCTCGTATCACCTCCCCCTTCACTAGGCCAGCACGTGTCAAGCTCGCTTGAAGTTGCCAACGTCAACCAAGCGAGTCGTGTAAGTAACTCTCTCTCTCTCTCTCTTGGTCGTGACTGCTTAGCGCCCTTGGTCACGTTGCCACGAGCTCCTCTGCTAGTCCAGGAACTAACACATCATACTAACTAGCCTAGGAGCGCGTGCGGAGCCTCCTGCTCAGAGAAGAGAGCATGGTGTAAGCTGACAATGACGTAGAAAAACCCTTCGGCGTGTTGCACGAGTCAGGAAGGTGACATCAACACGTAGAGGAGAGGATCCCGTTCCCTCGTCCGTGTCTGACTTCCGCGCGTACTCTCTCTCGTCCTCTCTCTCTCGGACATCACTGCTTGCATCGCTCTCTCTTGTAACCGCTCGCCCTTTGTCCTTGCACGTTGACCCTTGCATCTCGCGGCCTAGTGACTTTCGTCCCTTCCCCAAAAAGCACGGTCCCGCTCTCTCTCTTTCGTCTCACATGTAACTGCCTTGCATTCTTAGTCATGCCCCCTTTCGCGAGTTGGCCTCCGGGCCGCTTTCTACAGGCTCTGCTGGCGGGTGGTCCCGTCGCCACTGTTCTAGTCCATACCAGGACTGAGTCGCCTCAACGCCGCTTATCTCAGACTCCCCTTCGGAGGCCCGGTAAATACGCTGCACCTCTCCGGGCGTGGTCCCAGTCGACGAGTCATCTTCATGGTAGGTGACTGTTACTCTCATACCCGCAGTTACTCTTTCACGCCTGCATCTTCGCTCAGCCCTGTTGCGCGCCTCAGTAATAGCTGCCTGTAGTCCCTCATCTCTCCTCATCTCCTGTTCCCTGTGGCCGCAGACATCAATTTTCAGCCTTACCTTCCCCGTAGGCTTCCCGTCGGTTAGTATGGGTGAGAAATTCACACAGGCAATCACAAAACTATCGCAGAAACAAGTCCAAAGAAGACAGTACCCGCTCGACGGGATTTCAATTAGGAAATATTATCATCATAGTCCACCGCCCTTTCCACCTTCCTTCCAACCAACCCTATGATCCACCATCATTCCAGTCAACCCGAAGCTGCTTCCGACAATGGCGCAAAGCGCCGGTTGTCGGTAGCTGCTGAGGCACTTACTGCCGAAAAGATGACTATTCTAAAGAAAGAATTATATAAGTAGTCTAAGACATCTCTACTATTACTGCCGCCAATTTCCAGTACTCATCCCGCGTCCGCGAAAAATTGCGGAGGGCCCCCGCGAAAAATTCGTCAGGGTACCCCTTTGCGCGATACTCCCGTCGAAGTGTCAGAACCTGCTTTGGGATACTTTCCCGAGAGGTGGTGTTACGATCTATTATGTGGAACCAACCGGTAATTCCTGCCAGTTTTTGCTTTCGACTGCACCAGGACAAAAAGTCCTGTCCCATTCTGAAAACAATCTTCCCGGTTGTCCACATTGTCGATTCGTTCTTCGTCTGCTGCACACTTCCCAGAAAGGGATACCAGGGTCGAACGTCCATCCTACAGCCAAGAAAGTCCCAAGTCCCGGTCTTGTCGTTCGTCCTTTTCAGGGTCGTCTTAGGGTAGCACTTCTCGAACTTCCTCCGGATTCCATTTGCCTTTTTAATCGAGCGCTGGTCTCCCTTCCGATAGGCTAAGAACAAAGAGACGTTATCCATTAATCTGACCCCACTGACTAACTTTCTATCTTTGCCCAAAGTCGTCAAAAACCGCCACCGGCATGCGCACACATGATGCATGCCAGTGGCGGACTTGTGCTCTTTTCCATCGGTATGCCAAAAACTTGTCTCAGCAGGATATCCGACGCTCGTGTATAAGTATGCGAAAGCTTGAAATGGACAAAACAACGAATATCAGTAATTCCCACTGCCCACCAGTATTCTCCCAGCTTTTTCCCAACGACGCTCCCTTTCCTCTCGGGTTGACCGTCACACACGTGCTTGGATCATAACAACTAGTTAACCAGTCCAAAGCTCTACGAATTTCATTATTGCGCTCTAGGGACATTCTTACCGTTGTGCATGCCCTCTGGGATTCTCGACACTTCCCACATGCGACACTTCACATGGCCCTCAACACGGGGCAAATCATACCCAGTACACCTACAGACCTGCACTCTCTGAGAGGCGATCAACCGATGGTTGCACAGGGTATCAGCGGTGGAAGGATTACATGTCCATACCACCTTGATCTTTTTCTTGAAAATGTCGCTAATAATTGAAGGAAACCCAATTGCATCAATTTTCTCATCACACAGTCTACGGATCCCGGCTAAACTAATTCTGTCGTCAAACTGAATCCGTACAAGCAGTTTAGCTCCTAAATTGAAACCATATCCCTTCTTAATGCTGCCGTATAGGATTCGCCTAAGTAACTGTCCAGTACTCTTGCGTGGGAACTCTTTGACCGCATGCAACAAATCTACAAGGAAAGTAAGATCACGGGTGTACAAGGACTGACGTTTTTAGGGTTGCTTAAGAACAAAGATCAAGAAGTTATGGTATCGCTTAGCGTTCTTCCTCCATCTTTTTAGGTACAGCACTTGCACCAACCTCCCTTCCTCTATTGCTTGTTTGCAGTGTCTCAACTTTACTTTCTCACCCGCAACAGATACGTCAGAATCCTCGAACACTCGTTTCACTGTTTTCCATTGTCGCACCATATCTTGCCTCCGTCCGACGTCAAAGCAAAGGTACAACATCCTTTTCCTCCTGCTCATACAGTCCTTTTAGCACTTGTACTGTACTCTCCGTAGATGCCCCCACCCTCAGCCTAACGACGTTCGACGTGTCAACTATCAAATACTTCTTCCTATATCATCGGCTCCCTCGTTTCCTGCCCTTCTTTCTTTCTTTCTTTCTTCCCCCGTCTTCTTCGTCTGGATTGTTTACCGCCCCCGTGCTTCCTACCTGAGCTACGAGTGTTCAAACTGGGTGACCACGTTCGAATCAACAGCTCCTCCAGTCCGAGCAATGACTGAGCCGAGTCTTTAAGTACCGGGATCAATACGTATCCATGGAGGCCGAATTTATCTAACCACCTATGGAAATGTGACAGTCTATTACTCCCGCTTTTGCATTTATTACGATGCTCGGACCAGTGGACGTTTAAATCTCTCTGTCTTACCTACATACGTTGCCCTGCACCATGGGGAAACCCCCACGTACATACAACTATCAGGTTTGTCACATGCGTTTGGATCAGCACTCAGCAAGGCGTCCCAATAATTCACGAATTTCAACAACCAGGGGATACACCCCCTCAAAGTCAGGGCGATCACTACCAAATGAAAGAGCGTTTCAATTTTTTGTCTTACCTGGGATTCGGCTCTACGTAAGTTCGACAGAGTTCGGCAACATTCCCACAGATCACGTATCTTCTCTTCTCCTAGGCTACTTTTTCCTTTCCCGACTCTTCTGTTTCCTTTGATTCCTCTTCGTGAGATGAGCCTTCTGTTGAAGTCACCCACTGATCTTCTTCACGTTCTTGGGCTTGTCGCAGCCTTGTCTCGTCCGCACCTTCGTACGCCACTCTTGCGCGTTCTTCTGCTAGTGCCGCCACAACTTGTCCTTTTCGAATATACGGTACTCCCGCATGCTTGCACATCTTCTGCACTTGACGATAGTCCAGGTTATCCAAGTGTCGTATGGTTTCGTTGACAAACTGCTGCCTAGCTCCTGCTCCCACTTTTGCTGCCGCCCCTTTGACTCCCGGATCCCCCTTCTCGCGGAGTCGTTTCAACGTAATAGGTTGGAGGATGGTCTTCATCTTCTTTGCGGACCTAGCCGTTCGTGGCGGAAGCCCTCTCCTACTGCGCTGAAGTGGGGTATTAGCAAGGCTCGATAGTGACGAATCTTCTTCGGTTGTAGTAGCACGCTTGCGTTTGTCCGTCAAGGTAAGTTCCTCGGTCCTTCCCCTAATAGCTGCAATCTCCTCTTCATTGTCCGATTCGCTATGAGTACATCTCCGCCCATGCTTCGCTCTCCGATTAGCTCGTCGTAACCTTCTTCGACATTTTTTGTATTCCGGTGAGCTGTTCGCGCCACGGTCCTCTCTCGCCCCTCCCCATCGCTTCGAGAACTGGATATCCACTATCCTGGCCAGTCTCTCTTCGTTTTCCTTTTGCTCTATTCGCTTCCTCTCCTCTTTCTTTCTCCGCTTAGCTTCCTTCCCCCGTTTCTGCTTCTCCATACGCGCTCGCTCCTGTTCTTCCTTCTCCCTACTTTGCTTCTCTTCGCGTTCGACCATTAAAAGGCCCACCAGTTCGCTCACATCATCACGCCTTTCCCTCCGATCGTTTCTCCGAGAGTCGGTCGAAGGAGATCGCTGGGCCGGCTCCCATCTGCGTCGTACAGGTGAAGAGGATCTTCCTCGATATTGCTGCACCCTTGCATCCGAAGACTGGTCTTCCGATGCTCTTCCTCCTTGCGCCTCGAACTTTTCCTTCCAATACTGGCCGCAATCTCTTGCATAATGGCCCGACAACTTACAGCTGTAATAGGTTTGGACTCCCCTCCTGGAACCCTCCCCTCCTCTGTTTCCACCTTGGCTAGATGACGCCATCTCTTCTTCGTATTCAAGTGATACGTCGCCGCGTTCTCTTCTTCTCGTTTTCGAATCAGCACACAAAAGTCTGCACAGAAGTGTGCGCAGCGTGGCCAAACTTGACCACCGTACGAAGTGTCTACCCTCTGCTGGTTACCAAGCGCTTCAGCATGGGTGAGAAATTCACACAGGCAATCACAAAAATGATCGCAGAAACAAGTCCAAAGAAGACAGTACCTGCTCCGCGGGATTTCAATTAGGAAATATTATCATCATAGTCCACCGCCCTTTCCGCCTTCCTTCCAACCAACCCTATGATCCGCCATCATTCCATTCAACCCGAAGCTGCTTCGGACTATGGCGCAAAGCGTCGGTTGTCGGTAGCTGCTGAGGCACGTACTGCCGAAAAGAGGACTATTCTAAAGAAAGAATTCTATAAGTAGTCTAAGACATCTCTACTATTACTGTYGCCAATTTCCAGTACTCATCCCGCGTCCGCGAAAAATTGCGGAGGGCCCCCGCGAAAAATTCGTCAGGGTACCCCTTTGCGCGATACTCCCATCGAAGCGTCAAAACCTGCTTTGGGATACTTTCCCGAGAGGTGGTGTTACGATCTATTATGTGGAACCAACCGGTAATTCCTGCCAGTTTTTGCTTTCGACTGCACCAGGACAAAAAGTCCTGTCCCAGTCTCTTATACACATCTAGATGTGTATAAGACAACCGGTAATTCCTGCCAGTTTTTGCTTTCGACTGCACCAGGACAAAAAGTCCTGTCCCATTCTGAAAACAATCTTCCCGGTTGTCCACGTTGTCGATTCGTTCTTCGTCTTCTGCACACTTCCCAGAAAGGGATACCGGGGTCGAACTTCCAACTAAGGTACCCTTCTCATCCTCTCGTTCCCACATCCAAGAGTACCTCATGTACCTTGGCCTATAGCCACGCAGACCATCTCGGTCAGCCATAACCACCTTTCTATGATAGTCGTCGCCTGAGACCACTGTCTATCTATCCCCATGCGACATGCTTGAGACATTAAGCACAGAGACCCAGAATGACTGTAGCGCCTTCCAGCATGACAGTCCCGTGCTCGGACCTGACACGGCTGGCCAGTCCTGTCTAGCACGGCAGCCCCTCCTCTTATAGGGTTGTTGTGCACATAACTACCCGTGTTCTAATCGAAACACTCAGATCATTTTCAAATCCACGAAAAATAGAAAATAAATTAGAATAAGATAAAATAAATTAAACAAGAAATAACGAGGACCAAAGAGAAGTCCAGCGGCGCACCACCTTTTTGCCGGTGGTGCGTCAACTGGACCAGTCCTACAACAAAACCGAAATGCCGCGGATTTCCTTGGACAATCCACAGAAAATATATGAGCAGACGCCTGGTACGCAGTGAAGGTAAGTGAGTGTGTCTGGTACACAGTGGAGGGCCGGGACACCTCGCCCTTTGACAACGTGCGCGCAAGACACACACACACACACACACACACACACACACAGAGAGAGAGAGAGAGAGAGAGAGAGAGAGAGAGAGAGAGAGAGAGAGAGAGAGAGAGAG